CCTATATATAGTTAGAATGATCACCATGTATTGTACCCTCATCATACCATAGTACCCTCCGATCATTAGTACCCCCCAATTTTTTGTAGAATGAAAATATCCAGGGTACTATAAAGCGCGCTTTACGGTATGTATTTTTTCTGGTAAACTATTTGAGAGAGAAACTTTTCATTATTAATAACATATCTATTTTATTTGATAGAACCACAATTCAGAAAAGCATGTAGTAGAAGCGTTAGGGGATTAAGCAGGACGAGTTCATTATCTCGCTTATCAATCTCTAAATCTGAGCGAACATTAGATATTGCAGATTTATTCGAGACCTCTCTTCAGCATCAAGACCGGTAACATCATCTGTGAAAGTATCTGCCATTTCTAGGCCTACCACTCCTACACTCCTCTCCTTTTCACAAAGTGCAAGTGTAATAAATGTCACTATTAATTATGATGGTAATGGTTCTAAAGGAACCAGTTCAAACTAGTAGAACTAGACTAAATGTCTTAATTTTCTGGGATGCAAACCAGAAGTTCTTATATAAGTGGGCTGGGGTTATATAAATTTTTTCTTTACCATTACAGAGCGTATTTGTATAAAAAAGCTAAAATTAAAGATTCTTTAGAACCAAATCTTTAAGTAAATGAAAAATTTTATTGTAATATCTGCTATTTTTTTTCATATCTGTAAATGCATATGTTTAGATAGTAATTCTGGCAAATCCACCTACAAACAATTAGTAAACTAAGTTTTTCTACAGCTCATTGGGATAGGCGCAGTAAATTACAACATTTATAAATTACAACATTCATAAATTTAAAAATCATTTGAAAATTATTCTTTATTGTATTTTTTTCGTAAAGTAATACGTGAGAAAGGGCCGGTCGGCTAAGTAAAAAAATGAAACTAATAAAAGATATTGGAGTAGATCACGTTTAAAGGAAGGAATAAAACACGAAATGAAATAATATCATGCTTTCCGCCAGCCTTTTGAAATTTAATATAAAATATTAATGGCAAAATTAATTTTGGATGTTGCTAAAGAGATTACACGTAGCAGAGGAGGTGAATGCATTTCTGAAAGATATATCAATTCTCAGATGCCAATGCTTTGGAAATGTGCTAAGGATCATTTATGGTTTGCAAGACTTACTAGTGTAAAAAATGAAAAAACATGGTGCCCGTGATGTGCAGTTGAAAATCGTCATACTCGAACAATTGAAGATATAAGAAAGTTTGCAGAAAAGAAAGGAGGTCTTTGCCTTGCAACTGAGCATGTTAATAGACGGGATCCTCTTGAATGGCAGTGTAAAGAAGGCCATAAGTGGAGGGCTTCAGCAAAGGATATTCTTAAGGGAACTTGGTATCGAAGGTGTAGTACACCAAGCAGAAAACATGTTATACCAAGCCAAAAGATTATCCCAGTACAAGGACATATTACACCAGATCAAGAATGTACCCCAATCCAAAGACATGATACACAGCACCGAAAATGTAGTCAATATTGATATAGCAAATAATATTGCACAAGAACGAGGTGGTAAGTGCCTTTCTACAGAATATGTTAATACAGATACCCCGATGCTTTGGAAATGTGCCAAAGGTCATGAATGGTCTACAACTCTCTATTGAATAAAAAATCTGGAAAGGTGGTGCACATAATGTGCTGGCAATCTTCCTTGTGGTCTTATAGAAGCTAAAGAAATCGTCCACAGTAGAGGAGGTATGTGTCTTTCTACAGAATATATAAATCACTGTGTTCCGATGCAATGGATGTGTAATAAGGGTCATAAATGGTTTTCAAGTTTTAATTGTATAAAGCATTCCAAGACATGGTGCCCATATTGCTTAAATAAACAAGAAAATCTATGTCGCGAAGTCATAACTAACATTCTTGGCCTATCTTCCAGCATCCGCCGACCAGATTTCTTGAAAATACCTGAACATCCTCGAGGACTAGAACTCAACATCTACTATCCACAGTATGGATTTGCCATAGAAGTACAAGGTAAACAGCATGAGCAACATATAAAGTATTTTCACAAAGATCCAGAAGAATTTGAAAAACAGTTGATGCGTGATCAGATCAAAAGGAACTCTGTGAAGAAAATGAGGTTGTTCTAAGGTATGTTTGGTATTACGAGGATCCATACGTAGTCATTCCAAATCATCTTCGAGAGTTGGGTCTCATTGAATATACTTAAAACTTTAAATGCTTTTGCGATTCACTGTTATTTTTTCGATATAATAATTTAATTGCTCGGCCCAATAAATGAGAAGAAGGGAATATTACATATACCACTTTGACGAGATCAAAAATTCAAAGAATATGAATCATTCTGCAAGTCCTGATTTCCTTTTTCGTTTATTAATTTGCGGTGGATCAGACGGTGAGAAGACCAATATGAATCTCAATCTTCTTGATAACAAAATCCAGCATTTATATAAGGAAAAGAAAGGGGAGCGGTGTGTCAAAATGATGATCTAGTATTAATTGACATAAAAAAATCATGTACGCGTTTCATTTCTCACTTTTGCTCTGATGCATTTATTGATAATAGCGGATACATCGCATTTTATTATCTTGATGAAGCAAAATAAATTCATTCCAATCAGTGAATACATTTTTTTAAAAAAAATAAAATCGGTTCATTGATTTCTGAGTAATCACAATTTGAAAATTTACAAATAATTTCCGGTACCGCTGTATAAAATGTTAATATTTTTCTGTAGACCTTTGCCTGATGGAATTTTATTATGATACGCAAAAAGGCTTGTGTGATTTTATTAAGATGAGTTCTTCAGCTAACGTTAGAACCTTGAGCATGACCGTTTCTGTTTTTTCTTTCTTTTGGTGTAAAATATGTTTTTCGAACAAATTTAATTTTGAAATGTTTTGCCTCCATTAATGTACCCGAATTTGAATGAAATATCCGATTATATGGGTGATTCACCATTTTTGGATCAGGTATTAGCTTCATTTTTTTAACAATTTCTTGCTAAAAGTATAGAAAATAAGGAGTTGAATAAGTATAAATTAAAAACAATAACAGGATGCCAGTATCTTACTTTGAAAAAATATAAGGCCTCCAGCGCACTACGAAGACATTTGACATTTATGAGTTGTGCCGGAAAATTAAAAGTTGGTCCCTCTAACCCGAAATAAAGTCCATCATCAAGAAGATCTATCCCTATTATTTGCCCATTCAAACCTTATGTAATAAACGAAACGTTAATTATATAATTATTTGTTAACTCAACAACACGATTCAATGTATCCTACCAGCAAATTGAATGCCTAATGTTTTTGAGTCCTGAACCTCCTCATCAGATAAATCTTCTTTTAAGAAATTATCAAGAATACCTTTCAATGTTCGTAAACATTTTGAACGATCTTGTACAGCTTTTCCAGGTGTAGGAGCTTTGGCGGATTCGGAATGGCTGAGTTCAAGTTTTTTTGTTTTATGAACAATTCTCAAATCGATTTTTCGACGACGATCAGACATAGAATTAGATAACGTTTCTCCCCTATATATGTGTATGCAATCAAATGTCATTGCTTTTACAAATATTGGTAACAATAATAATAGACTTACCAGCGAAGTTCCAGATAATCAAAGACGTCACTGAATACATTATTTAGTATTGGTGCAGTCATAGCCATTGCATATTCAATCTCGCTGAGTTCCTTATATTTTCCTGTTTTGTCTACAAATATGGACGGATTTTTTAAAAATTCATCGATCCTAACAATAAATTTAACAGTATCAGTAGATAATCAATGCAATTAAATTGTAAAAAAATTTTATAACTTACACGTAGAAATATATTGTGGCTATTTGCTGTACTATTTGGGAATGATTGCCAGTTCTAATCTTATATAAATAGTCGCGAGCTTCATTATATTTGTACCTATCGCACATCTGAAAATGGCCAAAATAGGCATAAGTAATGAAGTAATGTATATATGCGCAGAAGACAATAAACTACTTTCCTCTTCGACAGTATCAATAACATTTGTTATCTCCCCTTCGAAGACATTTGGTTCCATATTAACGATCCCATAGACCTTTCTTTTAATACCCGTCCATTCCTGCCCAAACCACGTATACATTCCATTTTCAAACTCTGAAGATAAATCGACGATTGATGAAAGCCCTAATCTGTATTTATTATGTTAGAATTTCCTTTTTATTAATAATCTATTTCGGAAAAGTAAGAGAGCATACCGGATAACACTTTTCATAAATTGTGTTCGTTCGTTCTTCTCTTCCATCGCTAATTTTACTACCTCAGCAGTCTTAGTGCTAGCAATATCAATAATTAGACGACCATCTTCTAATTTCCATTCGGATTTCGTTTTATTTGGGTTTAAATAATCATCAAATGAAACCGCTTTCATATCATAATTGAATGAGCCATCATCCTTATCTGATTTATAGTCTTCATCGGATTCACTCTCTGAGCTAATATAAGAAAATGGTGATGGAGTATTATCTTTAGGTTCATCCTCAATGCTTTCTTCTTCAAAGTCGGTCTCAATAGGTAGATCTTGTGATCCGATTTTAGTCCGTTTTGTAACTTCATCCTTGTTCTAAAGTAAAGTAGATCATTAGTAACAAATCGCAAAATAATAGTTATAGCTGAAAAATATACATTAGTACCTTTTCACGATTCAAACCCCTTTTTGATGTAGCAAAGGAAGTTCTGACATTGATAGTGCCGTCTATATTCCCGATTACATTTCCTACATTCCCGTTAATCGGCTGGTGGATATTTATTTGCCTAAGCGAACGTTTTTCTTCCCAATCTCTTGCTTTCTTACGATCGGGTTGGGGATCCTAGCAAGGAGGGTCTGGAAATTAGAATATTCTTCTGCTAACACTTATGCTCAATTTGCAATTCAATTTTTCCCCACCAGAGCATCATCGCGACCGAGAAGGTCTATGTGCCCCAGTGTGGTCCAATGTTGGATCGGCAAGAAGCCTTTAGCCCTCGATAACTCGAATAGCGCCAACATCAGTTTTCGGCTCGGCAAAAAGCCTTGAATGACTGGACTAACCAAGAAGGTCTCCGTCACGCCACTTTATCCCACTACGCTCCCAATGAAAAGAGATTCTTACTCGCCTTTTGATATCTATCAAGCAGAAGCTGGGCTCTTTTCTTCCTGTCATCTTGCTCACAATCACAATCAACGATTTGCTTGAGTTTTTTTTATGTAAGAATCAATTTTTGCTTCAAACGGCTCTAGCTCGCTTTTGCTTAGAAATTCAATAATGCTCCATCTCGTAGGATTTCGGCTGAAGTAATCAGACTTTTCAGACATTAGTAAAAGTATATACTTGTATTTTTGTATTTCTTTTTTGTTAGATAAAATGTAATGGTTATAACGGTGATCTGATTAGCGAATTATTTCTCGTGTGACCTTATGTACAAATCGCGTTTCAAACGAGGTTCAAGTTATCACTCAAGTTATCTCGGATTTTTATTATAACAAAACACAATGCAAAATATAACAGAATAAATGTTTTTATTATATTTTCGAAAAGTAATACATTGAGAAAAGGCCTGCAGGCAAAGTAAAAAATATAAAAATGATGAAGTAGCAGGATGTTTCAAGGGAGGAATTTGCCGAGCCCTAACTCATATAATGGCAGTTCCATCCCTGCTACTCCGCATTATTATTTACGCTACTCACATTATTATTATTATTATTTGCACTACTAGCAACTTCTTTACTTTCTACCCATCTCATAATTGACATCACTGTGCTATATTTTGGCTCCCCTTTACCATAATAAAAACTTTCTACAGTACTCTTCCCAATCTTTTCCCTAGTAGTTCTTGAATTTCACGTCTCACAGTTTCAAATACATAGTAATTAGTCTCCCCACTCCCTTTTTCGAGTCGAAAACTCGCTTAAAACGGGTTCTATTTTCTTCAAGAGATGAATTGGATGAAGCGGATGATGTACTACTCTGCTGATCAAATTCGTCTTGGTGCTTTTGAGCAATTGCATAACGTTGGATCATTTCATTTCGAAGAGCTTCAATAGAGATCTTAATCGAAGTAAATTTAGATGAAATGTTGCCAAAATCATTACAGCAAGCTTCTTCAATATTATCGAGTCTTGTGGTCACATTATTGACCATTGATAAAATTTTCTGCGTCTTAGAGATGTAGCCAGCATCACGTGAATTGATTTTAGCGATTTCTTCAGTAAATTTCTTATTAAGTTCATTATTGTTTCTGATAAGCTTCACAGTGAAAGTAGAATTAACTTCAAAAAGACATGCAGAAATTCGTTGGCGATTTTAGTACTAACTTCTGTGCTAAACTTTTGTTTATTTCAATAAAAGTCTTTTCGATTTCTGCAATAATTCTTCTACCACGTGCCTTATTTTTTTCGATTTCTGCAATGAGATTAACATTAATTTCAGATATACGTGCAAAAGCTCATTAGCGATTTTATTATCACGTGAAGGGAGGTCATTGGAGAATTTGTTTCTGATAACATAAATCAAGAAAAATGCGCTAAGAATAGAAGGTGTAAAGTCTTCAAAGATATGCCACAAGGCGTTGTTTTGCAAGATGAGTACAGACATATTTTCAGAGTAAAGTAAAAAAAAATATGTTTAGATATATTAGATCACAGGTAGTTTTGCATAATTTTTTATGATTTATTAGTATGATTTATCGCTAGTGAAGCTAAAAGTGGAATCTACACCCCTTTTATACATTTTACAAGGCAAGATTTCCAAAAGAATCACTTATTAATGCTAAGTATAATTAGAAGAGAGAACTTATGTTGAAATAATATAGGCCTGGAATAATTGTGAAAATGATATCATGTATATGCCTCTCATTTCTGAAAAAAGAAAATTATCAAGATCCTGTTCAGTGCCTGTACCTAAAAACGAAAAAAGTTAGTGCATTCTTGTATTCCCATATCCCTAACAACATATTCAAGCAATAAAATAATAATATTTTTTCGTAAATACTTAACCGTGAGGCCTTATGCAAAAGAAAAATTTTTTATTAATAAAAATTTATTGAAATATTTGTTGGATCCTTCTGGGATCATGTATGTATAAGTATGTGAATAAGCTATATTATAAAGTACATTTTTGTCTAAAGAAAGACTGAAGAAAGAACTAAATATCTGTATATAAGACGTCATTCACAAGAGAAATTTGATATTTTTTTTTCTTGCTTTGAATATATAAGAAAGTGGGAGTTTTATTCGTTTGTGATACAGTTCGATTCGAAGTCCTTCACCATTTACTCTATAATGTAGATCAAAATGAAAAGGAAATAGACAGGGTATTTATAAAAAATATCAGACAGATCTGTATGAATATTTTTGCGAAAAATTAGCCATTTTAGGAATAAAATTATCAGGAGTATTAGCGTAAATTTTACATCTCTTATACCTTCACGATTTGCAAATATGCGCAGATTATCTAATAAAATATACTGCTTATTTGATATGATCAGGAGAAAAAAATTGTGCTAAAATGAATATCCAATGAACATACTAAACTGATATGCTATAAATTTATACAATAAAGTAATTGTATATTTACCATTTATTATCTAGATTGGCTAATATACTCTTATTGCAAAAAAAAATTTGAATAAAGATTATTAATCATGGATCGAGATCTATAAAAACAGTAAATGATAAATCACCCATGCTAGATTACGTACCGCTAATCCTATGACTTTATCCCAAAATTAGATTAATGTATGATTAGCCTATACATATAATTAAATGCGCTAGTAGGATAATAAAAATTACCGTTTATTTGAGAATCTGTAAATCTTGGATACTAATCGCTCTATTTCTATTTTATATTTCTTTTTAATAATACTCTTATCTTATAATTCGCAAAATGTAAATTAGGAATGTGGTTTTTTATTAGTAATTTAGAACTGCGTAATGAGTGAGATAGAACATACCAGAATTTTAAGGAAAGTTCATCAGTATGTTAACACAAAAATATTGTTCTTGGCCAGGGTTATTAATAGATCCTCTAAAAATAATGACTGCAGATGCTGATGACGTACTACTATGCATAGAATATTCTGCAAAATCACATGCATTTACTAAAGAAAAGAATAGATGACATTTTACTATGCACAATATCTAAGCCACCCACGTGATTCAAAAAAATAATGTGAATATATATGGCAATCTTACGTTACATAACTTATTCTTCAGCAAGAATTTTTCTGACAATGCACTGCACATTTCAGGTAATCAGTTCACATGACGAAGTTTTCATCTATACTTTTACAGATACTATTGGGATTCTACAATAAATATTTCTGCATTTAAGATAATAAGTTCATTTACTGTAATATTCATCGGCATCCCATTCACCTTTTATATCATTCCATATACTTTCTTCTTTATGATCTTCATTACATAATATACAGAGTGTTGAACTATTAAGATTAAATCACTCATCACGTTCATCACTATCACTTAAAGATAGATAAGGAAACTGTTCTAGTACTAACCCAATGATATGTTTTTATTTTTTTCTGGATCATCAGATAAAATAAAAATCAAAAGTCTGGATTTCTTAGATGATCTTACCTGAGACACAGATAATGTACTCACAGCTACTAGACTAATTTTAGAAGAATCATCTGAAGAATTACCATTAAGGGCTTTACAGAGCATTCTCAGCTGACATTAATGTAGTTGATGTATTTACTTCAGGCAAGATTTTTTTAGAAATTTCAGGAATTAAAGACTCATCTTTTGGTAACATGTGATACAATTTCTTTGGATTCTACTTGAAAAAATTATCTATGATCTCTTGAAGTTTATCATTAGTTAATTCTGAAATAGCATTTGCAGTATATGTTATAATATACTTAATTTTGTCTACACCTATCTTTTCAAATAAATTATATATCTTTACAGCTTTCTGAGTTTTTTCTTACAAGTATTTACGTGTGATTTCTGGGAGTTGTAAACTTGTTTCTTCAGATCTCTTTTTACAAAGAATGGAAAGATCCTCTAACATTTTATTATAAATAATTCCTTTCATTTTTTTCTTACTGATTTTACTATTTTTCATAGTTTCGTTAACTTGAGTTATAAATTTTTTTCCATAGTAGTATCAGCACAAAATTTCTTTCTGATTCACATGAATTGCACTGTATTCAGTATCAGTCACTTTATCGAATAATTGAGCTAAAGTAAGCAGTGTACTGTAGAAGAAATTTAGCTTTGTTATAATAATATATCGTTAGAAGAACTAAGAATATATTTTTAAGACTGTGAATCGTTTTAAATACTATCAGATATCATTTGAGAAATATTTTCTGCACCTTTTTTCCTATGACTATTTTTCAGTAAAGGCGTTCTAGCTGAAATTTTAGTCACGGGATTTAATACTTTTAGTATAATCCCTTCAGGATCGCAAGTACCAGATTCTTGATCTTGATTAAAAGATACCTGCTCTGCTTTTTTAAATTTCTTCTCCTTATTACGTTGCTTTATTTTATTACTAACAATTTTTTTATCTGCCTCAACTAAGAAATTATCCATCTCTTTCTCTTCCAATGATTTGCCGTTAAGGCATTTTGCAGAGTTGGTAGGTACCGTTATCACTTCTGGTACTGCAACTTAATTGAAACTAGGTGAATTATTGTTAGAAGAATTATGTGAAGCACCTTTCGACTTATTTAGAGTCTGCTTCTATTTCATTTTCGTGATTCTATCTTTAAACTCAGATTCCAACTCCTCGATTCTGGCCTTGAGTTTGGCTTTTTCAGCATCATGTATCTCATTATATTCCCATTTGCTCTTAAAACCTCAGCATTCCTGCGCTTAAATTTAGCTATTTTAGCATTAGACACTGAGAGCTTGTTTCTAAGATAAGAGATCTCAGTATTCTCCTTTCTAAGTTCTGTATTCTCAATCTCAAATTCAGTAATACGCTATTTCAATGATTCAAGCTTAGATAACATGATCTATATATAACTAATTTAATGTATATAAGTATTCAAAATAAAAAAATATGTGTTTTTGGCTGAAACGTCTTGACTGAAATTTGCTAATAAAAATTTTTATTACTATATATGAAAATAAATACAAATGTTCAAGACGTAGCCTAAGATACATATTATTTTTTGATAATTTTTTGATTCTAGCCTTCTTGCTAGCTGGAGAACTATAAACACTAACCCTATCCTTTAACAGCCTAACAATAATACTTATTACCCTTTTCACGTTACTTCAAAATAATTCAGGGTTTTCTTTAATAGTAGACTTTGTAAGATTGATCTAGTATTCGCTTTCACTCGTAGAATATATACCATCCAGAGTATATATGATAAAGTGCCACTCTATACCTGTAATCACAATATCATAGATATAGTCAAAATAATCATTTCTAAACACTTAATCTGCAGTTCACTTCTTCTTATTTGTTTGGAATGCACTTTCAAGCTGGACCAGATTCTAAGAAAAATAAAATGTGTTAATATTAAATCTTTTAAAAAATACAGATCTGTGTAGTAGATATACCTACACATATCTGATCTTAATATTATAAGGCTTTCCTTCAGTAATATATAAGAGGTCTTCTAGAGCTTTGATTGCATAGTCAACTTGGTCAGTTGAATCTTCTTCTGAAATATCCTTCTGCAACACTATAAATATATCTTGAGAGGTGAGTTTTTTGATAATGGCAATTGATACATGTAATATAGCTGAGATAAATTCACAGCGCGTCATCTTGTTAATATTGATCATAGTTTTCACGTTCAAAAGTTTTAAGATAATATCCTCTATACAGTATTTAAACGCTTTATCATCATCACTAATCTCCTCGAAGATTACAGAGAAAAATAAAGTTAATATAACTATCTAGTTAGTTTGAAAATTAATTAATTACCTACCAGAAGTAAACTGTTTGATGTTTGTTATATCTTTCCTATTGACCTTATTTCTACGTAACATTTTTTTCGTCATCAAAAGTCTTAAGCGAGGAATAATTTCATAATTTCTAGTTAAGACCTTCAATAAATTTTGCTAGTATTGTTGCGAGACCAGCTTTCAAGCTATAATTTCAAAAATCCTCTTTAGTTGTATCAAAAAAGGTAAGGCCAGAAATTTTTTTTTTGTGTAAAATTTTGAAGTGAGACTCCTCTAGCTTCAAGTTTTTCTTTTTCAAATATTCAATAAGTTCCTTTTTATTAAAATCTTTAACCATGTCTGATATTGTTTTAGTGGAAATTTCTTCCATTATTGAGGTAAGTGAAGTGGATTAAGAAGCTTATAAAAATATAGTTTTTATATATATGTATTTATGCTTGCAAAAAAAATATACACTTGACTGCAGTTACAAGTAAAGCTAGTTCATGGATATAAAAGTATTTTGGTTTTAGCGTTCAGAGAGAAATGATTTATTTTTTTTGTATCAATTCATAATACTTTTGCCTAATATATATGCAATTAAGATGTAATACAGAATTATCAAATGATTATATTACATTATTACACGTGACATTTTTCAAGATTTACAACAAGAATATAATATATGCTTATTTAAAAAATAAAAAATATCTTGCTGAAAGCCAGCTTACATTACATAAAAATTGCGAATATATCGCTACATGATACAGAAAATTATTTGGGATAAACAGTGAAATGGAAGTGCTTTACTTTAAGTTTCTTAGTAAAAATATCGATAAAATCCTCATGCATGTCCATTTCTATTTCATTAATGCTTCTGGCTCAAATTATACAAATTTTAAGAGAGATATTATTAAATAGTACCCCTAATCTACTTTGAATTGCAGTCTCAAGATCACTATAATAACTAACTCTACGAATTGTAATCGATTGCATTACTTTAATGCATAGAATATTTATAAGTTTGCCTATAGGAATGATAAGACAATTAATAGTAATGTTATTATCGTCCATTTTGACTCCTAAATGCAAGAATCCAATAGTGAGAAAATTGCTTGGCCTACTTGTATTAAAGAACATATACTATATATACCTTATTTTGCATTATTTTTTATGAAATATTTTTTGCAAAACGTTAGCTAAACTTTTACATACCTTTACACGCTTTATATCTTACTAGAAAAAAGTTAAGGAGGTATGAGTTGTAATTAGTATTGTCGTCTGATACCAAGAGCTTCATAAAAGCACATATAAATAGAATTCTTATACCTTTTCATATGTAGATCTACCAGAGAGATGCAAAGGTAGTTAGTTCTTGTAAATTTCAAAATTACAAAGTACTCAGCCTTTCATAGCATATGCTTTTGACATTAATATTTACTTTTACAGTAGGTCCTATATTGCAACTAGACCTCCTTTTACATTTTCTCACATTTGTTTGGGAAAAAATAAAAAGCAAAAGTTAATATGTTCTCTTTTTCAAATATATATGCAAAAAATTAATATACTTTAGCATTTTAATGACTATTACACAAATTTGTCTAGTGATCCACTTATTTTTTTCGCACAATCTAGCCAAAGGCGCTGTGCATAGTTCAGCAAAAATCTTCTAGACTAATGATCATTACTCCAGACTATGGGTTAGACCAGAAAAATCAATCATAGCTCAATTGCATCATTTTTTCACAATCATGGCATTCCCAAGGTTAAATCAGAAAAATGATTAGGTCAATCTGGTCTAATAACTATGAATTCACTAGGTATGCTTTTATCTTCTTGCTATCATTAAAAGTAATATACAGATTAACCTTTTCTAATGTGGAATAGGATATATTTAAAGCCTTAATACTATTGCTTTTATCGTGATATGTAATTTTAATTCATCAATATATTTTTGGCTAATACAATTTACACTAGCACTTGTGTTAAACACTACCTGGATAGGATCATTTTCTTTAAATGCACAATTTACGAGGATCATTTTATTATAACATATAATATTCAAATATAAAAAATAGACATCTATTTACCACTCTAGACTAGTTAGATTGGTAAAGTACCAGCATTCTACTTGATCAGCTAGTATTCTATCAAAATAATTTCTTAGTGACCATCTATTAGGTTGCTAGTGTATCTGATCTAAAGCATATACTAAATTCTGATGGACAGTACTAGCCTGTCTAGGATAATCACTAAATGCGAAAATAAGATCAGGATTGGTCATATTGTTAAAATTCTCAATATGGATATTTAGATTTAGCTGATCTACAGCTTCTTTGCTAATTTTATAATACCTCTCTAGATCAAGATACTTTAAATTAAGACATAAACAAGCAATTTTTCTGATAATCATATCAGTAATTCCACAAAAGCTAAGGATGAGTTCTTTAAGCCTTAGGTAAGAACGAATAATACTAGAAATTGATATTCCAGTAATCTCTATACGATGAGAAATATTTAGATATTCTAATTTATGGCATGCATTTGCTAAAACAAACAGACCTTTATCAGTTATTATTCCAGCATGACTGCTTACATACTTATTCTTTTCTAAATTGAAATGCTTCAGATTTGGGTATGATTCTGCTATTTGATTTAGTGTTTTATTACTATATCTTATGTAATGCTTCAAAACTAGTTTTCAGTTTTCAGTTTTAGTCTATTTATTTAGTAACCAGTTTTAAAAAAAATTTTAAAGATCTGGTAACTGGTTTTTTAATATAAATCAGTTTTAAACTCAAACTAGTTTATGA